AGTCGCTTCAGTATTCTAATCATGTGTCACCCTTGGGTAAACGATCCCCGGCGCCTTCTTCATCTTTTCTTTAGCAGGTAATCGAGCACTCGGAATGCGCCGCTATGGATACTTTGCATGTCCTTCTTTCTTTCTTTAACTCTAGACTGATGGAGGCAGATAAAATTGACATATGAGCTGCACCGAATAAGATTTGCATCAATAGGAATGTATAACATTAAAAATAGCTCTGAAATCATTTTCAATGCGCGGCTGCTTTCAAAATGATGACAAGTTGATACTCGTGAATGGCTTCATGCTGCAGAACAACCCTCGATCCACAACAGCACAGATTTCATCTTCTCTTTCTCCCAAGGACGAAAAGCAAGCCAACTGTTCCATTCTCATCATTAAACCCCCCGGGGTACTTCGGTCCTTCAAGAATCTCCTGTGGCATTTTCCCGATCTGGTCGCAAATCAGGGTCAAGGAAAAAGCTAGTCCATCACTTTTGCTGACATACTCAACGCCCGGTTCAAGAGCATTATGTGCAAGATGGACTTGCAGTATGACGTGGCGAGCTCTTGTTGGAAACCGTGATTGCTGATGGCACTAATTTCTGACAGATGATGATGGTAGAGGTCCAATAACAGATCCTTGGCATTAAGCACCGCATTTGTTTGCTCCTTGTATCCGGATTTGCCAGACATTAGGAGGAGGAGTGTTTTCTCGGGGAGCTGGTCACGGGCAGAATAGTATTGAGATAAGCTGCGCTTCATATCATCAAAATCGCGCTTCCTCGGGTTCCCGACTCTCTCATATATACTTTTTTTTACTTTCAAAGACCCGAAGACTTTCCCCATTTGCTTTCATCTTGCTCTCTATTGACGCTTTATTCCATGGGACGAGTATGTCCCATGGGAAGCAAATGTCGTCCAACTAGTTAGAATACAGACGAGGAAGCCGGTGCTAGAGTAATAAGAGACTGTAAGTAATACGTATAAGAAAATATGTCATTGAACTTGGGTTTAATTGATGGGTTGATTGAGATTCTTATACCTGTTGCAACCTTATCAAGTGCGTGATATACTACTCCGTTGTCCTTTTTTGATGAATAATAGGTGAGGTTTAGAGGGATAGAGTGCACGTGCTGAAGCTCACGTGTCGCATTTTATTGATGTAGCTTACTCAGTCAGATGATGCTTAATCAGCTTATGTAATGATCTCCGATCGGATCAGAACTGTTCAGAGGCGTGCTCAATTTTACCTGAGATCAAAGAGCGGCAAGAGGTGAGCACTAAAATGGAAAGGGAAAGGCATTATCCGGTACATATATTGCACAACATATGTACATATCGATGGGCTACCTGACCCTTACAGGTTATGCAAATGTACTCATATCATATGATATGATTATGAACCATGTACGGAGTACTTTGGGCCTTGAAGATCTGCCTAATGAAAGTCCGGGTGCTTTGAAGTATAGACATAATTTTTAGTGCTGGACATTTTAGATGGCTGAGATTTGTCTGCAGCTGCCAAATATAGTTACCGAAGGCTTTGGTTTAGCTACTGTCCTGTTTCTCATATATATTGAATTATTTTGGACTATACAATGAACTTGGAATTCGTTAAATTCTGGTTCTGATTTGACAAAATAAATACTGGGGATGTCTAGAGGAAGTATTGTTGTAATGGCCTGCAAAACCGTGAGAGATATATATTCCGTCGGGAAAGGGATGTTGACATCAAAAGCGCGTAAAACGTAGAAATGAGGTGTGATCATGAAACCACCAGCTCCAAAAAGAAATTCAACGCATATAAAAAACAAACAATTCAGAAAACCTACCAAAATGAATCAACAAGCTAGCAGAGTTACCCCGGCCTCATAGTATACTCTCTAACATTGAAGCATCACGGGATGATATGATTAGATAAGAACCTCTTATAGTCTAAACCCCTTTAGGACTAGTCCGTCAAGGCTCTACAGAACATTTTTTTTCCTGTCCGGATCAACTGCGAAACCACCAGCCTAAACCCCCATTTGTTTCCTAAGGGGCGGAAGAAAATAGAGTCTCATCGGAATCCTTGCTGTTTTTATTTGGGCCTGGTCTATTGATATCTATCTTCACACCACCGCACCCTCGACTGCGAGAAAAAAAAAGAAGATAAGAAAAAAAGTTACAGCCAAGATGGGAAAGAAGACGACTCGCCCATCCACCAAGGTCGCCTCGGCCGCCACATCGCCGGCATCGGGCATGACATATGCGGGCAGCAAGTCGTCGATCCTGCGCGCTGCGTTCTCACCATCAGAGTACCAATTGGCCCTGTTTGCGTCCGTTATCCAAGGCCTCGATGGCCAGCACATTCGCATTCACGACACACAGACAGGACGCCTCCAGTGTGAGCATGCCCTGGGGCCGAAGGAAACAGTGACCTCTTTGGACTGGGGATACTACGGTGGCTCAGGCAAGGGTCGTGACCAGTCGAAAAAGAAGCGCAAGCGCGGTTCCGATGTCAATGGGGCTGTTGATGGCCTGGACCAGGGGGACATTGTGGTTGCATTCGGCACAAACACATCGGATATCCGTATGTACTCGCCATCCGAAGATAAGGTTGTTGGCACCTTGACCGGCGCGCATGACAAGGGTATCAAGGACTTCAAGTTCACGGCCGATCGACCCGCCCAGGAGGCTTGGAGTATCGGTGGTGACAATAAGCTTGTCCAGTGGGACCTGCGCACCGGACAAAGCACACAGTAAGTTTGGGATACTTGCTGGGTAACACCGAGCTCCTAACTAATATACCCGTAGGACAATCCACCTCCCCTCATCCTCAGTCTTCACTGCTCTCTCCCGCCCCGTGCCCTCGAACCCTCCTCTTATCTGCGCTTCCCAGACCCCGTACTTAATAGATACCGAGAAGGCCGATGAGCCGGTTCAGTTCCCGGCCATGCGCAACCCTATCCACACCGTCATTTCGTCCTCTTCCGAGTCTGCTGGTGTCGGTGCATTCCTTGCATCTGATGGTGACCGCTTCATCAACGTCTTTGATGTCGCTTCCCAGAAGCTTGTTCGTAACCTTGTCGCCGACCAGGAGGTCTCGTCGATTACACTGCAAACAGATGGCGCTACCACCCCGGAGAAGCAAGTGCTTGCTGCAGTTACCGCAGATGGCAGCATCGAACTCTTCACAAAGCCATTTGTTCAGCCCCAAAGTGCGCCCTCCGCGAGTGCCAAGGCTAGCCGGAAACAGATGACCCAAAAAGCAAACGCAACCCTCAAAATCACCAACACCGAGTCTTCGAACGCCTGCGTTCCTGTCGCAGCCATATCATTCCAGGGCCCTAACCTCGTGGTTGCATACACCGAGGGTGGTGTGATCCCTGTCTTTGAGCGTGTCAAGTTCCTCGACGAAAAGACCGATGAGCTCTCTTTCACCGGAACCAAGACCGTGGTGAAGACCAAGTCAGGCTCAGCACTTTCGTCTGTCACAACGAATGGAGTCAAGAGTGCAGGCGAGACCCGGGTTGACGAATCTCGCATGAATGTCGAGCAGGGTAACCTGGTCGATGATGATGTAGAGATGGAGGATTCACGACAAGACGCATCCGACTCTGGCAGCGAGGAGGACTCCGATGACGACGACAACAAGAAGTCCAAGGCTTCGACCGAGAAAAAGACCAAGCCCACCAAGCAAGTCGCAGCGAACGAGGACGTCGAGATGCAGAACGCATCCGACTCCGAAGAGGAAGAGGAAGAAGAGGGCGCGGAGCCATCGTTCGGCGAACTTCTACGCGCAAACGCAGGCCAGGAAGTCGACGTCGAGGCCGAGCTTGACGACGACGTCCTCCTGGGCGCATTGGTTCCCGGCAAGCCCCAGGCCGTAGTGCAACAGATCCCTACCGGCGTTTCGCTCGCAACTGTCCTCACACAGTCGCTCAAGACCAACGACAACGGAATGCTCGAGTCTTGTTTCCACACCGGTGACACCTCCATCATCCGCACTACCATCCAGCGCCTCGACTCTTCGCTGGCTGCGACCCTGCTTCAAAAACTCGCTGAGCGCCTCGCCTCCCGGCCTGGTCGCTACGGCCACCTTCTCGTCTGGGTGCAGTGGACCTGCGTCGCTCATGGCGGCGCCCTGGCTGGTCATCCTGATCTCTTGAAGCGCATGACTTCCCTCTACAAGGTCATGGACCAGCGCTCTGCTACCCTGCCCTCCCTTCTGCTCCTCAAGGGCAAGCTTGACATGCTCGATGCGCAATTGGGACTGCGGCAATCGATCCGCGGTGGCGATGAAGGCATGGATAGCGAGGACGAGGACAATGTCATCTACGTCGAGGGCCAAGATGACCTCGAGGACAGTGAGACTGAGGCCAAGACACCGCGGAAGTCAATACGCGACCAGGCTTACGATGAAGACGAGTCAATGATGAACGGCGTCGACGAGTCCGAAGATGACGAGGACGATGGAAGCGACGATGAGGATGACGACGAAGAGCCTATCTTGGACATTGAGGCTGCTGAGTCTGTCGGTTCTTCCGACGCCGAGGAATCGCTGGAGGAGAACGAGGACGAGGACGAAGATGAGGATAGTGATGGCTCGATGGTTGACTTCATTGCCGACACGGAAGACGACGAGTCCGACGATGCTGCTCAGCAGCAGCCCCCGCCATCAAAGAAGAGCACGTCTTCTGCTTCCATCGGCAAGAAGAGCAAGGGCGGCAGGAAATAAGCGTGTCTCTTTTGAAGTTGTACGAATTAGAGATGGGAGAATGGGGTAACGGCCTATAAAAGAACATATTTTTTATTTTTTCCCTTCGATGCATCCAACCGGGTCTGCATGTCATTTTTTCTTTCTTTGTTTTATCTTTTGCTTTCGATATCTTGTGCCTCTACCGAGCGCCTCTGCGTCTCCATCAATGTCTATTGAATTTCACCTTGGTATCTTGAATATCGCTTCTTGTAAGGAGGTATACGATAACCCGTACAGAGCACTTTTCTACACATAAACACGGTATTTATACCAGCAACTCCTCACCCCGGCAGGGACCTGCATGCAGGACCCGATGTCTCGGCACTCCTTCCTCACCGAGGGGAATCAGCATGGCTGTCGTCCGCTCCCGCGAGGGATAGGTAGTGAAGTGACCCAACGCACTGACATTAGCAGTGTCGAGAGCTAGAATGACTCCATTCTTGCCACCTTCAATCCAGGCCTCGGTGGTCGAATTGGGGAGCGTGATGTGCGCTAGACCGGAGAGGTAGACCACCCATCTAGTGCGGCATTAGCTGATTGCGGACTCTATAAAAACAAACAAACAAATAATAAAAAACATGTACAAATAGCACATGTAACTCATTCAGAGTCATTAATTTGAAATAGCGAAACAAACGCATGAGGGAGAATATCACTCACTGCAACGCAGGCGCATTATGTCTACCACCATCAAACCCAGCCGGCAACACCGCAAACGATGCGTTGCCACCGACATCCCCCAAATTCAAGGCGGCGGTGCCAACCTGCCCGGGTTGAGCGGAAGTTTGAAATCCCGGCACGAGAGCCCAGCACTCTAAGGTGGAGCGATGGTGGCGTGCGCCGAGAACGGTCACGTTGAGAGATTGGGCGAGGATTGCCGAGGGAAAGATGAATTGGATGAGGGTTTGAAGACGCATTTTGAGGAAATTAGGAGTGAATTGTGTGAGCTAGATGTAATTGGGAGGAAAGGAAATATAAATAAGAAGAAGAAGATCTGGGAGCTGATATATAGTTATGGGGGGAGCCAAAAGTTAGTTTTGTCGTAGTGGTCCGATCCTTCGCCCATGGGAGCCGAAGAGAACTGAACGGCGGTGGAGTGGAATCAGCGCTCGCCTATGAGCGGATTGGTTCCTAAAATAAGCTAGCACTAATACAGAGAGGGCAATATATTGGAGGAATCGTGTGTATGACATCGATGAGAGTACATAGCTACTGTAGGACAGTGACGTCGGATCGAAATTAATGTTAAACATACTACGGAGTATACTTAGCAGATTGGACGGCAGAAAACAAGAAACAATTCAATTCATCGCAACAAAGAATGATAAACCTACCCAAGTTCTGTCTTGCAGCATTAAACCATAAAAATATAAGCGCTTAATGATAGTGAGAGTACCCCGTACTCAGACCCAAGAAGACAAAGAATACTAACGAATGACTTCACCACCAGACTTCTCAATGCCCTCGAGGCCTTCAAGAATGTCGCTTCCACCGAAGAGTCCACAAGCAGAGTCAGTGCTTGTTCTTCTTCCGGTCCAGATCTCATGGAATTTCACGGTTTGATCACTAGACGCGACAATAATGCATCCCTCCTCCCTTGTTCGTGTGCACCACATCCCACCTTCTTTTTCCTTGGGAGTGACCATGCTAGCACCAACCCTGCGGCTACTGACCTTGCGGCCACGGGTCGGGGTCTCTTGTTCTGGAGACCCAGTCTGGGTTGACGAGGACGAAGGTGAAGATGACTGGCTGTCAGGCCGAGCAGAGCGTGTAGCCGAGAAACGAGGGATTTTTCCTGGATATCGTACTGCCCACAGTGCTCTTCCGCAGTCGAAGTTGCTAACTCGAGTCTCAGGGCCATCCCAGGTGGTTCCATAGGGCCCCCAGGGAATGACGGCCACCTGTGCGCAGCTGGGCCAGGCAAAGACGGCGATTCGAAATGGGTGATCTGGCTGTGCATAACCAAAAGTAGCGGCGATCTCGCGTCGAGTCCCGCTCCATATAAGACTGGTTACCTGCGCGAAGACATTGATGGTTGCGAGACAAGCTCCGCTCCGGGTGTGATAGAAGTGTATAGCTTTGTCATTGGTGCCTCCCCCCGTCGCGAGCAGGGATGACTGCCATGGCGCAAATGCAATTGCCTTGACCGCAGCGGAGTGCATCAGACGATACTTGTGACGACCGTATGGGACCAGAATAGTTCGTCCCCCACCGGAGATCACAGTGCCTGCATGGTTTAAAAGCGCAGATTCGGCCGGAGGCTTGACTGGAGCAGCAAGCCATGATGGGAGAGCAGGTCGTCTAAGAAACAATCGTCTTCTTGCGGTGCTCAGAGGAAAGTATGGAAATACACCGAGGCTGAAGCTGCTAGGAGAATCCGGGGGCGTGATGGGTGGGACCATATAACTCATCTGCTGTGGCGAAACAATCTCAGCCAGCTCAAAGAGAAGGCAGGCGTTGTCATTACCACCCGTGGCAAGGTATTTGTCATCGGGTGACCATGCCAGTCCACAGATTTGTTGAGTGTGTGCACAGATCTTGGCAAGAAGCGTCATGGACCCGTTCCAATTCCACTTAGCTTGATCTTCTTCGTCAGACCACTCGACTGAATAGTACCAGATATTTCCAAAGTCGTCACCTGCAACAATCTCTTCCACGTCGACTTCCATATGCATGAACCGTTCTGAAGGTCGCCGTGATGTTCTCGGCTTAAACGTCACACATGTAATGGTACTGGGATGACTGATCTCAAACCGGACTTCCTTCTCGAATGTGCTCCATAGAGACAACTGACCTGACCGCCTGGCCACTGCAAGAATGCTTCGCTCGCCATCCTCAGAAGAAAATGACAAGGAGGTGACATAATTTGAGGGGTGCAGATCTGGAAAGGGGGGATAATCCATCCCATGACCTTCAGACCAGAGATATACTTGATGACCTAGACCCACAGCAAGTATCCCGGATGTTGTTGAGTATGCAAGAGTGCTGCAGTAAAAATCGTCCCGAAGGAAAGGAGCATCAAGGATTCGAAAAGGCTTCGGTGGAACAACCTCTTTTCTGGTAGGAGATAAGGGCCCTGAGAATCGATCCGAGTCAGTTGATGCCTTGGAGAAGGCTGCGGATACCGCCAGTCTCACAATTCCAAAAGTTGGGTTAAGAATATCATATATGTTTTATCTGTAAATGGTAAATGTATTCCAAAAGTAGGCTCAGGGGGTGGCTGTTGATGACTACAATTGCACTTACAACGCTCCTTTTCAATTTGCTTCCAAGCACTGTCCTTCCATTCAAATGGGGAGAGGCGCTCGAAGTCTGGAGATGCTGGATTGAGGGGGGCATCCAGATACCGCAGACAAGTAGTACCTAGCTGTCTGGTCGTCGGGTCGATTCCCAAAGCAAGGGCAAGCCTCGACTCATGTATTTCTTGTTCACTGTACTTGGGTTTTCTGGGTAAAAACCGAGCCACGAAGACTGGGGCAGATGATCCATTGGTCGAAGTGCTCGGCGTTTCATGAGGAGCCACGACAAGGGAACTATCGAGGACTGCAGATGCTCCACCCACGTTCCAGACTGCGCCGGAGCTGACCTGTCTCAAAGATTCATGCGTAGTGTTGTTGCCTGTGATATTGCCTTCAGTGACTAGACGAGGCCGTTGATGTGGGATCTGCTGGAGTCGAGTTGGCAGCTGGGGTCTGTTGGCAACATAAGCCCTACGTGGGATTGTGGGCAGAAATGGATCATCACCGGGAGGAAGTCGTCGAAGTAGTCTCTCTTGAGGCGAAAGACGCTGCGGATGCTTGGCCACACGAAAGGTTGTTGATGTTGGTTCCTCGAAGTCTCGCTTTGGAATGAATCTATCAGGCGACATAGGACTTCGAAAGAAACTTCTTGCTACTGCATTTCCAGTGGTTCTCACTCTGCTGCGACCTCTTTTGGGTGAGGAGACCCGGTTTTCTTTGGAACGAGGGACGGGTGTCAGAGCATGTTGGGTCTTGGGCTTTGACAATGATGATTGAGAAGTAGGTGTTTCAAAAAATGGCAAATTGATAGTTGCAAATTCAGTTAATTGGACAGGTCCACTGTCTCTGGAAGACTCGGATCGAGAGTGCGAAGTCAATGGATGTTTGTGACTGCCTGTAGAGGTTTCCTCGAAGGAGTGACGTTGCATATCTACCATGGTTCTGGATGCAGGTCGATAAGTTGTATATGATTAATGACCTAGAGCTAAAAAAGGAATGTATAAGGAGGCCTCTCTTTCAAGGCATAGCGGCAAGATGAGAAAGACGACGAAGCAAAAGACAAGTCCCCAAAGTAGAAAGAGTGATGATCACGTGAAGCTATGCAGATGCCGGGGAGCTTACGTAATTTACCCACCGCATCATCCATGGATGCACCAATGAGATAATTCTAGTTGGCCACATCTGATCAACACAAAGCAACCTACCTACAAGGAAACACCTTCTATTTATTTCTTATTGTCAAACAAAGAGTGAAAATGCCCAGTGTGAGATAATTCCCGCATGCTGTACCGTTCCGAGGCTGACGATTGCGATAGCATGGTGTGCCGCGGTACAAACCAGCTGAGAAGTCCGCCGAGGCGCGACAGCAAGAGCTGCAGAAGATAGAAAAATACAAGGATCTCGAGATTTCTGTATCCAAAAAGGTTGGCCACCTTTTAGAGCTCACCTATAAATGGAGTCTGACCTAGGACAGGTGGCTGAGCATGAGTACACAATCGAGACCTTGAACAAGATCTCGGAGCTGCTGTCTAGCAATCCAGAATTCTACACAGCCTGGAACTACCGCCGTCTGGTACTACAGTATCAGTTCTCCCAAGCAGGGGGCTCGGATAATGAGACTGCTACCCATTCAATCACACAGCTAATTATAAATGATTTACATTTCCTGATTCCCCTTCTCCGGAGCTTCCCCAAGTGCTACTGGATCTGGAATTATCGTTTGTGGCTGTTGGATGAAGCTCGCCGTCTACTACCCCTTCCCGAGGCCCGGGAAATCTGGCAGCAAGAACTTGCCCTTGTGGGTAAGATGTTGACTCTCGATAGCCGGAATTTCCACGGGTGGGGTTATCGACGCTTCGTGGTTGAGACTTTGAAGGAGCTTGGCACTGCCGAGGAAGCAACAAGCATGACCCAGAAGGAATTTGAATATGCCACGAAGATGATTGGAGCCAATCTTTCCAACTTCTCCGCGTGGCATTACCGGACAAAGCTTATCCAATCCCTTTTGGATGAGCAATCTGCCAGCGATGACGATCGGAGAAGAATGTTGGACGATGGTTGGTCTAACCTGTCTTATCAGAGACTATCTTATACTGATTTTTGTTTTTAGAACTATCCCTCATTCATCAAGCATTCATTGATCCTTATGATCAGTCACTTTGGTTTTATCACCAAAATCTGATGAGTGTGTTTGACCCGTCGATGGCTGAACGAACTATGGCCCCCAATTTGAGCTCGTCCGACCGGCTGGAGTACATTAGAAATGAGATCGAAGAGATCCAGGAGATGTTGGATGGGGCTGAAGACTGCAAATATATCTACCAGGCATTAATTGAGTGCACCCTTCTCGCATCCAAGGTCGAAGGCAGCTTGTCTTCTGAGGATCGGGACCAGATTCTGAGCTGGCTCTCAGAAGTGAAGAAACTGGATCCATTGCGACGAGAAAGATGGCTTGATTTTGAGAAGACCTTGTGAAAATATATGAATAGGTAACCTAAGCCTGCGGCCCTGTCGTGTCTTTTTATTTGTCTTTTTTTCCGGTATTGTAGTACCAGCGTGTTGCTATCTGCATGATTTTCTGGTCTATGACTCTACGGATCGGCGACTATCTGCTGTCTGCATTGTTTAATTCATAGTTGTTTTACTTCATAGATTATGCCACTTGATGGATTGTTTGCTAAATAGCTAAGCGAGATGTTTCGAGGCTTACAATGTTTGCAAAAGGTCAGCTATATCAATAGGCTGCTTTCCACTTTGAATTTGTTTCTTCTTTCCTTCTTTGCAAGACCAAGCGGCCATGTGGTATAAAAGCACCCTGAAGCAGATCTTCCACCTTCTTCTCCTCTGATGCCCATGGTGTTCTCCTCTCTCTAACACCCTGCTACTCTCAGTGAACGAATTTGCTCCCACCGTGTTTCGCAGGCAGGGCTGTCGGTGCCCCTGCTGCCCCCGTTGCAGTCCCCTCTTCAGGATTTTCTTAACGTTCACCCTAAATATATACTACCTGAGGCCACTAATGATGCATCAGGACTATTTGTGTATAGAGTTTCTTTATACTTACAGGGGTAAGTATCAAATTCGTAGCATATGAGTTTGCGGGCTAGGAGTCCTCTTACCTATCAGCACCCTCCGATCGACCTTTAAGATTGCGAAACTCTATGATAGCATAGAGAACATCACGTTTACTTTAAGGGTCTTTCAGGTAAAAAAGTTCAATATCACAATAGTAGACCGAGTCCAGAAGGTCTTCTAACGATATACACTTCGGAAGATCACTTGCAAAGGTTTAAGCCCGTTTGCGTTTACTAAGGAATGAGTGGTTGGGTGAGGGGGTTTCTTATAGAAGTAAGATACCGGGGCGACTTCCAGTAAAAGCAGACTATAGCTATACTGTAGCGAACTGGACAACCATACTTCCATTACGAAAAAACCTCGAATGGACCTAGTGGTGCCGGTAGAGCATACAGAAGACATCTATATCTAGAGTATTCTTATCCTTCGTTCGTCGGGGGATCTTGCGCTCGACCGGAAAGGGACCCTCTAGAAACTATGCTATCATTAGCCTTATCTCCTCTATACAGAAGGTATGATCATACTCGTCGCATCTGTTTGTGGGCGTCCTTATTGACACGGCGGTGGGCAAATAGCTCGAAATACTGATAAAGGCGTCGCCAGTACTCATCATAAGACTACAGCCTTTCAATTTTTTAATCCTTTCTTTTATTCCGGTGAGAATAATAACATCATCGTCATCATCATCATCTCGCGTTTGGTTCTACGAGGTCAACTAATGCTCCCGTGGTCACCTTGCAAGTCATGTGATCTCAGCCTACTACCTCACCGCCGCCTTCTCTGCAATGGTGCAACCAATGATTATAGCATTAATATTATATCTATCTTTTTTGATGTCTTTTGTACAACTTTTTAAAGGATCCTTATATGTACAATTGCAGAGGTAGATGTAACTAAATTGAGAATGAGAGGCCACTTCTGCAAACAGTGCAAACAAACAAACAAACAAGCAAACAAACGATCAACGATATGTGGAGTCACATGACTGACAATCATGCAGATCGTATCGACCAGATATGTGTGTCACTATTTCTATGTACAGTTGTCTTGGCCAGAGAAAATTAGACGGGGATCTACAGGGAAGACCGGCCACCCTTGTACGGTAGTCTCTAACTGCTGGTATGCCATATCAGATTGAATTTGACCTGACAAACATGCCATGCAAGTACAAGTAGAACACAGACCTAAGTCGCCAATTGTATCCGTTAAGCAGTGTTTGCTGCATATAGCAGACGTCGAGTGTCTAACAATACGAAATCACAATGGGATATACAGCTATTTGAATGTGGAGATGGTGACTCGTTGGGGCACCAATCAGCGACGAGTGTACCTGGTCGGTCGAATCGATCACTTGAAACTCACCAAACCCCTTCAACTCCTTCCTCGTTCCATCTTTTTCCTTTTTCGCGAATTCCACTTGCGATTTTTGTCTTTTAGCTCTTCCGAGCGTCTGCTCTCTTGCGATCCTATGGGGTGTTCTATTTTCTGATTGTTGTGAGGTCATCTAAACAGCTATGGCCGATATGTCGACACCTAAACAAAGTCCCGAATACGAAGGGGTAAGTGGTTCAGATTCAGATCTCTCCAAAACCCCAGCTTGTCTTGACACGAGCTTATCGCCCTTCGAATAGGAGTCTTTTGACGACGCCCTTGAAACCGTCTCAATCCAGGAGAACAACAACCTCAACGTCATCATCCCCAAGTCCACTTCCACCCGATCGTTGACCGATAGTCCGGCAATTGGCTCACATATGTCTCCGGAATTGACGGAGAAACCTCCGTCACCTTCTGAATCGCAGGCCGAGCAGAAGAGCGAGACCGCCGAGGAGCAAATCAGGGATGGCGAGGGGCTGGATGGACAGAATGATAAGAACAATAAGAATATGGGGAAGGGGCAAGATGAAGGAACGGGTACTAGCGATGAGAATAATCTCGACACCAACCACGGGGTGAACACAGCGACCGATGAGCCCACCCGGGGTGATAAGCCGGAACAAGGGTCCGAGGTTACGCAGACAGAGGTCGAGAAGAACGGAGAAGATCACGATCAGAGCCCACTGCAGAAGTCGCCTCTACTCACGTCCCGCCGTTTATCAACATCATCATCGCTCGACGAAGTGAACCTGATGAACAGCAAGGAAGACGAGTCGACACACAAGGCACAGCGCCCAGGGGACCAAACAGAACCGCCTCCGTTGCCTCCTAAGAACGATCCCGCTCCTCCGGCAAGTGCAGGCCTGATGGGTCTGTCGGGTGGCCTGCCCTCAGTCCCATGGGCGGCTCCTCCAGTGAACAAGAATCCGCCTATTCCCCAGCCAGCCCATCCTCGGAAGCCTAGTGGCCCCTTTGCGTGGTTCACTCGAAGCTCAACCGCGACTAATGCTAAGGACATCAAATCCCCACCCCCCTCTGCCAGCCGACGAAACACTGCCACCTCCGTATCGACCCTCAGCAGCAACCTAGACCATCTCGCTCGTGATGGCGACGACGTCTCCAGTATCGGCTCAAAGAAGCCGAGACGCAATAGCCTGAAGGATCAATTCAAGATGCTACGCCTACGCGAGGAGAGCCATGCGCCAGAGGTCGATCAGACGAGCGTGCAATCGGGCCAAGCCAGCGTTAGCCAGTCTGGAGCTAGCCCCCCTATCATCCCAGAGGAAGGAGAGGATGGCATTTTGGTAGCGTCAGGAGTCGTTTCACCTTCGAGGACGGTCGGTCCTGGGAGAACGGGCTCTGTGGCTGATGCTTCCATCCCCGTGGACTGGGAGATGTGGCAGCACCTTGTGAACAACGGGCCCAAGGCCTTGGCAAGCTCAGAGGAACTGAATGCCGCCATTAAACGAGGTATCCCGCAGACGATCCGAGG